ATGCGCCGGGACAAGCCGCAGGAGCGCGCGGCCAGCTGGCCGGCCGACCACGTCACGGTGCTCATCGCCCTGTGGGCCGAGGCGGCCGCCGTGCACGACCTGAGCTCCCGCGGCCGCAACCGCGTGGTGTACGACGGCATCTCGCAGCGCCTGGCCGAGCTGGGCATCTACCGCACCGGCGACCAGTGCCGCGAGAAGATGAAGGGCCTCAAGGTGGCCTACCGCAAGGCCAAGGAGAACAACGCGGCCGGGCGCCCGCCCATGCGCTGCCCCTTCTACGAGGAGATGGACCAGATCATGCGGCGCTGCGCCAGCACCGGCGCCGGCTTTCTCTCGGAGGCCGGTGACGGGGCCCTCGCCGGGGAAAGGCCAGAGGGTGCCGCTCCCCCAGAGGCCTGGGGGCCTGCAGGCTTCGAGTCCTGGGACTCCCAGGGCGCTGCTGCCTTTGAGCACTGGGAGTCGCAGGCGTCCGCCTCGGATCAGTGGGGCTCGCAGGCAGCCGCGTCCGAGAGCCAGGGTGCCGAGGACCCGGGCTGTGGCCTGTCCGAGGGGCAGGATGCGCTGGGCGAGGTACAGGCCGTTCGCGTCAAGGAGGAGGAGGCGTCCGAGGAAGAGCTGCCCCCCGAGCCCGGTGAGTGCCTGCTGAGCGCAGGGGAGTTGGCGTCCAGGGGCTGCGGCGGAGATCGGCATGTCTGTCCCAGGCAAGGCATCCTGTGACGTGCATAGTTGTGGCTGCCTGGTCTGGCCTGGGAAATCGGCTGTCACTGGGGCCGCCCCAGCGTGAGCCATCAGCCTGGGGCCTGCTGGCACCAGGGTCCAGGGCTGAGGCGCATAGCGCGCCCCTTCGACCTCCCGTTCTGCCCTGGAGGTGTCTCCCCATGGAGCTCCGCGGGCAGGGCCGCGTCAGTCCTGGGCTGACTCAAGTAAAAGTATAACCCCCCTCACTATAGGCCACTCAGGGCAGTTCACAAGGAGTGCGCCACAGGCGTTCACCAAGCAGAGCACTCTGGATGGCACCGCCAGCCCTCAAACACATCCTATGAGCCAGGGGATGCTGTCCAGCAATTCTCTGCCCAGAGACCATGAACGGGCCAGGGGCAGGAAAACAACCCCCTGGGGTGGCCAGGGAAGGCCACGTCTTCCCTCCTCCAGGATGGACCCCAGCACACGAGTGACAGGCTGGGAAGGGGAGGCTGTCAGGAGCTAGGGAGTTACCACCTGCTGCGCTTGTTAGCACGAACACTAAATATAGCAGCTTAATTAGTCTGCATGAGAGGGGCGCTGGCACAGTGACGCCCTCTCTGCATTCAGCATGGGACCACGTGGCTCGGTCAGGGTCTGAGCACAGAGTTGTCCCCCCACAGGGTCCTGAATCGGTGCCAGGAAAGGAGCAGTAGGATAGGGAAGCCTGTAGACATGGGCATCCCAAGGGGAAACCATATGGCCTCCCTCCACGTGGAATCAGGGCTGTGCCGTGGGCCAGTCACGAAGAGAGTCCCTGAAGTTGCCTTAGGTTGACCGCAGCTACTATCTCAGGTTGCAGCCCCCTCTGGCAGCAGGGTCTGCCCTGGGGTGCAGAGCGGCTGGCCTGAGTGGGTCAGGCTCCTGCTTCGCAGCCGCCTTGTCTCAGGGTGGGAGGAGCTGAGCACCTCATGGCACCTCTGCAGGGGCTGAGGAAGCAGAGCTGGGGAGACAGGCTGTGGGCACAACCCAAGGCAGAGCGGGGACATGCCTGCAGTCAGGGTCCCTTGCAGAGGTGTTTGTAGCGGCTGGGAGATCCATCTCCATGGACCCCCAGGAGCCATGGCCACAAGCACATATCTGGCATAGTTCATGGACACCCAGGATACCTGCACCTGCTGTGAGCAGAAGGAGACCGTAGTGCATGTCTACCTGGTGCACGTCTGCACTGCCTCTAGGTCCGCCTGCTGAGGCTTTGGCTACACTTTGTCACACCCCTTTATTTATGCATCTCCCATCTGTGGCCCCACTGAGCCCTGGTACCTCCCCCTGGCCCTGGCCAAGCCGGCCATATATCCAACCAGGAAGGAGGCTCTGGCCAAGAGGACACTGAGGACTGCGTCGCCACCTTCCTATCCTTGCCCTGTTTACGTCTCTGAGCAGACTATCACTGGGCACTGTCTGCTGGCACCTTGGACTCATCTGAGGGCCAGTCTAGTGTGCTCTGGTGTCCCCGCTTGGCATTCTTGTTTTGAACCCATGACCAGCACTCCAAACTCTGTTTCTTTATTATTTGTCCCAAGAAATCCATTGTCTCCTTTTCCTGTAGCCTTCCCACCAAAGGGAAGCCAGCATGAAACTTGGTGGGCTGGGTCTGCGTAATTGAAGGGTGATAGGTAGGTTTCTCTTTGCCCAATGGTAGGAGGGATGGGCGGCTTAGCTGAGCTTCCCGCTTGGGGCACTGGGGAGAGCACTGAGCCCTCGGAGGCCTTTGTCCTGGTACTGCAGAGGGGCACAGCCTTTGCTGGGGCCTGGGATGTACCCCCTCACTTCTCCGTGTCCAGTTGGGGGTGGAGGGGCTCTGGGTGGTGCTTTGCGAACCTTGTGGTTGTTCATCGTATGCTCTTGTTCACTGCAGGCCCTTCTACCTCCATGGCGATGGAGCCCGAGGCAGAGCCGCGGCAGCTGTCAGCACTGGACCGGCTGGCCCACCTGCGGGCGCGGAAGCGCAAGGCACGGGAGGAGGGGCCAGCAGAGGCAGCGCGGGGCACAGGACCAAAGCATGGGCGCACCCACCCACTGGAGCTGAAGCGTGCGCGGCGTGCGAGCGCCTGGCGGGCAGAGGAGCGACAGAGCCTGGTGGAATTCATGCAGCATGACCGAGAGATGCGGCGTGAGGAGCGGGACTTCCAGGCACAGCTGCTGGAGCGTCTGCTGCAGAGGCAGCTGGAGGCATTACAGGCCCTGGCGCAGGCCCCGGCCTCGCAGGAGCACGGGGAGCTGGCACGGGCAGAGGGCCCGGGTGCAGGGCTGCAGTTCCAGGCGCTGCTGGAGCAGGCGGTACGGGGCAGGGGCCGGGGCAAGGAGACGGAGGCGGGTGCGGTGGAGCTCCGAGGGGAGCCTGAAGCGGCAGGGAAGGCCCCAGCCTCGGCCCCGGCCCCGGCCACAGTGCAGTACTGGACAGCGGACGAGATCCTGCGCTGGTTGGTGCCACAGCAGCCAGTGAATGGTCAACAACCACGGTGCCGGGATGGGCCACAGGGACCCAGGCCCCTGCTTGCCACAGGGCCAGTCCCGGCGCCTGCCACAGCATGGTGGGCCAGGGAGCAGCGTGACGCAGAGGCCGAGGGAGCGGGTGACACCAAAGTAGGCGCAGAGGACCCGATGGCACGGCAGCGCTTCCTGGGCTTCCGCTACGAGGTGACAGCGGGGCCACGTGAGGCTTACAGCCGCCTGCAGGAGCTATGCCAACGCTGGCTGCGGCCCGAGGCACACAGCAAAGAGCAGGTGCTGGAGCAGTTAGTGCTGGAGCAGTTCTTGAGCCTGCTGCCAGAGCAGGCACAGCGTTGGGTGCGGGAGCAGCGACCTGAGAGCGGCCCTGAGGCTGTGGGCCTGGCCGAGGACTTCCTGCTAGCTCAGTGCCAGGCCAGGCGGCTGCAACCCCAGGTCAGTGCAGGGGGCTCCTGGGTCCCAGGGCAGCTGCCCCCGGCGCCCCAAGCTATGGGCACTGAGGAGGAGCCCCTTGTCGTTCCAGGTGTTGGAGCCTTCCTGTGGAGGGGCCATGGGTCCTGGCACTGCAGAGCAGGTGCCCCTGATGCAGGGGCAGAGGGAACCCAACATGGGCGTCACACAGGAGGATCACAGAAGTGCTGGCTCACTGGGTAAGGAGCTCTTCCCCTTGGGGCACCAGCGGGCTGCAGAGGACTGTTCACGGGGCCTGTCCCCGGCCATGGTGAGGGTGGTCTGGGTGTCCTCTGTGCTCCCCCCAGGCCAGCTGTGAAGGGGTGAGCCACTGGATCCGCATGGTGCAGGCTGCATGGGGTTCAGGGGTGGTACTGGGACAGCACATTCAGGGAGCAATGGGACCATGAGCCGTCGGCAGCCAGGCAGGCAGTGCACACGGTGGGGGCAGACACGGTGCTGCAGTCAAGGTGGGTGCTGGATGCAGGAATGTCCCAGGGCGCAGGAGGCCCAGGTGGCCGGGCCCTGACCTCAGGCGGGACAGGGTGAGACAAGGGGTGACAGGAAAGGGGGGGTGGGAAAAGCAAGCGTGTGCCATTGCTGTTTCCCTTGGTGCTGCGTATGGGGACATGTTAGGGGATGAGGTGAGGTGTGGTCTGTGGGTTCCTGCCCTCTCTGGGGCGCTGACTCCCGGCTCTGCTCCTCCTCAATTCTAGACCCACGTGGCCCTGCAGCCTCCAGGGTATGTATGGGGGGCCTAGAGACAGTGGCAAGCGGCAGGAGCAGGGCTGCACCTGCAAGGAGCCGGCTGGCAGAGAACGGCCTAGAGTCACTGCCTGGGGCAGGGAGCCCGGAAGAGCTGCAGGCAGCAATGGGGCGGCCACTGAAGCAGCATGGGACCTCCTGGGGGCAGGATACGAGGGCACCACGGGGAGCCACAGCACGGGGCAGCCACACAAGCAAGGCTGAAAATGGGGCTGAGCCCCCGGCGGACAGGATACCCAACCCGTGTGGAAGGAGCCCCCGGTGCCTGAGCCCCAAGGCCGACAGCTCCTCACCACGTGCAGACCCTGGCTCACCATGGGATGTGGACAGCAGCACCAATGGGAGGTCGGAGGGCGGTGCAGCCTGTCCTGGGGGTCAGCGCCTGTGCCAAGGCTGTGCCGTGCTGCGGGCCCAGCTTGAAGCGGCGCAGGAGGAGCTGCGGGAGGCCAGAGGTACCAGGGCTGGGGGGTGTGGCCCACTACCCCCAGAAGTACTGGTGTCGTGGGGCTGAGCTGGGGCTTGTCCTGGCCATGGGGCTGCCCCATCGAGGTGGCCCAGGTTGACCCCAGCTCCCCAAGGGGCCGAGCCTGCCGGGCTCCAGTGGGGTGGAAGGTGGTGGGGGCTGCACAGCACCCTGGGGAGCCAGGTTGGTCTGTGCCTATGGCTGGGGCTGACCCTGACCCTGGCCCCAGACTCTGGCAGTGCTGGCTCCAGCAGAGCTCAGCCCAGGCCAGGGTTCAGGTGCAGGGTCCTGCCCCTTTGCCCCAGCCCCTGGTGGCAGATGCATGCTCCCCATTCCCCCACAGCACACACAGGCCTCCTGGGCTCAGGCTTTGGTTCAGGGGCAGGAAAGATCCCTGTTCTCAACTGAGGCAGAGCAAAGCCCGGGGCCAGGCCCTGGTGTTGGGAGCCACTGTGGCACTGGGTGCAGGGTCCCACATTGCTGGTGCTGCCCTGGGGACAGAAGCAGTCCCCCTTGCTCCAGGCAGCTAGGCAGGGCCAGGGCCAGGAGCAGAGCCCAGGGCTGGGCCTCAGGGAGGGGCTGCTGCAGGGTCCAGGTCCGATGGGCTGAGTCAGGTCTCTGAGGGGCCAGGATGCAGCCGCCCCCCCCTGGTTGGAGCATAGCCCAGCCAGATGTGGTGCTGGCTGCCCAGGGGATGGGAGATCCCCATGAATCTGTCTGCTTGTCGCTGTCCCAGTGGGGCCAGGTGGCTGTGATGCCATTAGCAAGGCGCTGGTTCCTCCCACTCCCCTGCTGCCCTCCCCTACATTGATCAGGTCCTACGTGAGGGCGGTCCCCCTTCTCCCCCCGCCTTCCAAAGCTCATTGTGAGCCCCACAGCACTCACCACCTGAGTAGGCAGAAGGACACAGAGCCAGCCCACTTCCATACACCCATAGTTGCCAGCTCTACACGCTCGTGTGCCGCACCATCCATCATCCCATTTTCGGGTCTCACCTGGACATAAGTGGTGGGACACCCTGGGTGAGGGCAGGGCTGTGGGTCTTCGGTGGGTGAATCTGTATTCCACCCTGGTCCTGCGCACCACTGAGGACCTCAGCTGGTGGCTCTTCCATGGAGCCGTCGCCACGGGCGTGTATCCAGGGCACTTCACGGATGCCCCTAACACCTGTCCTTTCTGTGGGCAGAGGGAGACCCTGGCACGTGCCTACTTAGAGCGTGCTGGGCTGCAGCCCCTGGATCTCCTTTTTCAGAACCTCTTAGTGAGGTTCTGGCTGCCCTTCTCCCCTCACCTTTTTGTTTTTGTGCTCCCTGTCCGCAGCCCCACCAGGGCCTGGGACCTACTGGCCAACTTCCTCCTGGCCCTGGCCAAGCTGGCTGTGTACGTGACCAGGAAGGAGGCTCTGGCTGGGAGAGTCTCCTGGGAATGCGGGGCTGCCTTCCTTTCCCTGATCTGTTCCCATCTCCAAGCAGAGTACCACTGGGCAGTGTCCACTGCCCCCTTGGACACGTTTGAGGACCAGTGGGCGCTGTCCAGTGCACTCTGCTTGGTGTCCCCACTCGGTGTGCTTATTCTGAACCTTTAACCTGTGCTCCCATCTTTTGTTTTTTATCTGTTGTCCCAAGAATTCAGTTGTCCCCTTTTTCTGTAGCCTCCCCATCTAAAGGAGGCTAGCATGTAACGTGGTGGGCTAGGTCCGTGGTTCCAAAGGTGGACAGAGCTGGCCCCACGCACAGCCCCTGGGCAAAACTGGCTCCAGAGCCTGCCATGCCGCAGCCATGGGCAGGTGCAGTGGGGGCTCCTGTGTACCGTGGCTGTGTGTGGCCTCACCTAGCACCTCCGTCCCACAGCCTCCCCCCTGCTGGGGCTGAGCAGCACCGCCTTGCGGGACCTGCAAGCTGCGCTGGGCACCATCTCACGCGTGCTGAGTGAGCGGAGGCTTCCAACCACCAAGGCCCCCCGAGACGTCACCCAGGGCCCAGGAAAGCTGCTGCCTGCAGATACACATGTAAGTGCCCCCCTGCCCTGCCACAGCACTCATGGGGCCCTAGCAGCCGTGTGTCCAGCCTTGGGCTTCGCTCATTGCTGGGTGAATGCAGGGCTGTGCTCAGGCATCTCTCTTTCCAGGGGGGTGCTGCGAGTGCTGACTCTACCTTCCCTAGCAGGACCTTAAGTCTCAGCACAAGGGCTGCATGGCCCTGGGGGCAGGGCCGAGTCCCTGCAGGGTAGGAGCCCCAGCGGTGCCGTGGGATCGCCTCTGGGGAGGGGAACAATCGGGAACCACGAAGGTGGAGAACCAGGGGACAGCTCCTGCTCATGCCATGCCTGTCCTGCAGCTCTCATGATGCCCAGTGCCTGGTTGCTGCCACCACCATGGGACCCACCGGAGCATCAGCCCCAGCGGATGTTGAAGAGCTGCCTGGCCCCACCTGGAGCCCCTGGTACTGACTCAGTGTCAGGTCAAGCTGCATGGGCTGACAGGGACTGATCCATGGAGTCTGCAGCCCAGGCCGTGGGTCTCGATAGGACAGACAGTGCTCTGGGCCTCTGTCTTCTCCCTATCTCATTTCTCAGGGTGGTCTCAATAAAGCAATGCGCAGAGCCCCAGACTGCTGCTCCCAGCACTGCCCTCAGTTGCACGTTGCTCCCAGCTGCACCGCTGCGGGCCCCATGCAGCCCCCTTTCCTGACCTGACTGCTGCCCCTGCCTCCGCCAGCTGGGCTCTGGGATCACAGCTGTATCACGGCACTGGCCCAGCCCAGGGGTCAGGGCTTCACGGTACCTGTCTTGGAGCTGCTGTGAGCCAGGATGAGGGAGCAGGGATGCCGCTGGCAGGGAGACCCAGCCAGGCAGTGGGACCCCGGGGTACCCCGTGTGGGACCTGACCTGCGTGCCCTGCTCCAGGTGCTGTCTGGGGGCTGTGGTGGATGGAGTGACTGCACTGCAGAGCCTGCCTCCATGAGCCAGCTGGAGCCAGGAGACAACCAGGGTGTCCTGGGACTGGATTGGGTGGGCACAGGGGGATGAGGCGGGTGGCATGGACTCCAGCTCCCATCATGTTTCAGTGTCAGGACTCCAGTTGCCATCATACACCTGAGGCTAATCCCCAGCAGCCATGAGCATGGGTCCAGAATAGACAAGCTTCAGATCCTGACTGAAAAGGCACAGATGGGGATGGGAGGGGTCATGCTGGCCTGGGGGGAGGTGCTGAATCATGTCAAAGCCTGGTGGGAAACCCAGGCATCCAAGCATCCAACCCCTCACTTCGTTCCCTGCCCAGGGAACCCAGGTCTCCAAGCTCCCACCCTCCTAAACCCCTTCATTCCTTCCCCGGGGAGCCCAGTACATGTGCACCGATAGAAATTTTTGGGGCTGATGCCGATGGCCAATTTGAAACGAGCCAAATGGGACAATACCCATCGAATTGCCGATAAGCGGCCTGACAGCTTGAAGAGCAGCATTGGGCTGGTAAGTCTGTTGGGGAGGGAAGGGTGTGGGGAGGTGCAGATTGAGGCCCCCCCTCCCACAGTGAAGGAGGAAGCGGGGCAAGAGCAGGTGCTGCACAGCCGGGGCAGGACATGGGACAGAGCAGTGAGCGGTTTTTCTGGTGGGGACAGGGAGTGGGGCGGGGTGGCGCCCACCACTGCATGCACTGCAAGAGGGCATGGGGGGCATGTGCTCCCCAGATCTGTGTGAGAGCAAGGGTGGGCTGCTGCTGCGGCCTGAAACCAGGGGCATTGCTGGGCTCCATGGCAGGGAGTTGGGCCAGGGCTGCACTTGGGACGGGTGGGGGAGAGGTGTGTGGTGGCAGCACTGACAGGGGAAGGGGGTACGGCGAAATATGGGGTGGCTGCAGCTCACCCCGTAGCCAGCACCGCTGCCACCAGCCCTGAGCACAGCCCAGCCCAAGCACCCTTCCCGCTGAAGAGCCTGGTGCTGACCTTGACCCCAGCCAGCCCTTGCCCCACACACATCTGGGGTCACACACCTATGCCCTCCTGGGGTGCATGCAGTGGCAGGATCCGCCCCCAATCTGTGACCCCCCCAGATGAGTCGTGGCTCCATCGCATGCCCTGCCCCAGCTGTGCTGCGTCTGCCCCAACCCCACTGCCTGCCCCACTCCCTCCCTCGCTGCAGGGGCCTTGGTCTGCCCGCACGCCCCTTCCCCCACAATACGCTTACCAGCCAGATGAGTGGTGGGTAAAATGGCCAGTCCGGTCAGCAGCGGACTCCACTTCCCAGCCGCCCCTGTGCATGGCTGGACCCGGTTTCCATGGAGACCACAGCCACAGCTGTGCTGCCATAGCGAGGCCGGGGTTACCATGAAGACCTGACCCAGCCCGCTGGCAGGGCACAGGGCTGCTCCAGAGCTGCTGGGATCTTGCGATGGGCGCAGCTTGCTCTGGAGCCAGGGCAGAGCCGCGGTCTGTACCTTGCGCGCCCCTGGCCAGAGCATGCAGGCTACAGATCGCAGCTTTGCCCTGACGCAGAAGCAGTCCCCTGCCGTGCCGTGCCGCGCCGCGCCGCGCTGCATGCCCTGCCAGCGCAGGCGGCGTGCCAGACAACGGGACCCCCCCCGTCGGCACGCAGGCGCCCCACGG